AACTCTTCAACTCTCTTAGATTCCTAGGTAGAGGCCATTTCAACATTGCCTTAATCTTGGCTTGATCTACGGCCGCTCCCTCCTTGGATATCACGTGCCTCAAGTACTCCACACTAGCCTATGCAAAATAACATTTCTTTAGGTTGACCCTCAGTTGTTGCTCATGTAAGGCTCTTAAGAACACTGGCAAGTGTTCCAAATACTCCTCCTCGGACCTATTGTACACTAGGATGTCGTCAAAGAATACTAGTACGAACTTCTGGAGGTATGGTCAGAATACTTTGTTCATCAAATACTGGAAAGTAGAAGGGGTGTTTGTGAGACCGAGCAACATCACTAAGAACTTGTAATGCCCCTCATGCATCCTGAAAGTGGTCTTCGGGACATCCTCCTCCCTCATTCTAATATGATGGTATCCCAACTTCAGATCCATCTTGGTGAACACCAATGCTCCACATAGGTCATCCAATAGCTCATAGATCACCGGTATGGGAAATGTTTACAATCAGCTTTTTGTAGGGCCCATTAATCAACACAAAACTTCTAGCCTTCGTTCTTCTTCTTAACCAACAATACTGGGCTAGAAAATGGGTTCACACTTAGTTTAATGATCATCGCCTTCAACATCTCCCAGATCAGCTTCTCCATCTTGGTCTTTTGAATCTGAGGATAGAGGTACGATCGAACACTAATTGGTGACACTCCCTCCCTTAGGATGATGGCATGCTCCTGCTCCCTCAGTGGGGGTAAATCTTGAAGTGGCTTAAAGACCTCACTAAAGTGATGTATGAGTGGATGTACTGAAAAAGGAATGTACCCCCCCCCCCCCCCCCCCCCCCCCCCCCCCCCCCCCCTCCTCTAGTATGATCCCTTATTTGTTATGCAGTTCCACCAGTAATCCTCCCTCCACCTCCTATATGGTTTTTACCATGGTTTTGTGAGACACCATGGCATTAACAACCCTGCGACTCCTCGGATCACCACTCTTCTTCCTTCCACCACCAATTCCATCATTAGTGCTCCCCAATTTACCTTTGGTATCGCTCAAAGTTTGTAGCCACTTCATCCCCAAGATTACATCAGTGCTTCCTAACTCCAATGGGTGAAAATCCTTCCTCATCTGAACCCCCTGTATAGTCAGCATAAGTCCCCTACACACTCCTCTACCCATCTCCACCTTCCCAATGCCCATCATCACCCCATATCCCCTAGTGGCCACTAATTTCACCCCCAATTGGTCAACGGCCTAATTGGAGATAAAATTATGGGTAGCCCTACTATCGATCAGCATCATCACCTCTTTGTCAGATATTTCTTTATTCACTTTTATGGTCTGATTCGGGGTGAACCCCACCACTGAGTTTAAGGAGATTTAGGCCATGTCAAGATGCAACTCTTTCTCCTTTTCTACTGCTGTCTCACTCTCAGCTCCAGCCTCAACTTCCTCGTCATCACAAATGGTGAGAACCTGAAGAGTTCGGTCCTTACACCTGCGCCCTGACGTTACCTCTTATCACATTTGAAGCACAATCCTTTTGCCCGTTTCTCCCACAGCTCATTCTAAGTAAGCTTTTTAAATTTCCCCCCAAATCCCCCTTCCGTAGGCTTCTCCTTTGGGGCCTCACGAAGGCTTCCTGGTGTTGGACTCTTGGGTCATAAGAACGTGGTGGTCATCCTGTACGAGCCTCCTGAACTACTTCCTCTGGCTCCCCTTTCCAGGTGCTTCTGGTCCTTCACTAATTATGCTAACTCCAAAGCATCTCCCAAGTCATGACGCCTCATTACTCTAACCACTGCCCGGATCTCTTGTTTAAGTCCTTTCATGAAGTTCCACTCTAACAACATCTCAAAAAGGCGATCCAATCGACTAGCAAGGTTCTCAAACATCTCTCAGTACTCTACCACCGAGCCATCCTATGTCAGGGCAAAAAATTGTTCGTTGAAGTCTCATCTCCTGCTGGTTTGAAAATGTTATAACAAGCAATTTTTGAACTCCCTCTAGCTACGTATGAGTTATCAGATATCTCTTCACTGGTACCAAGCCAAAGACTTAATTCCATTCCAAACATATGCCAGCCGCTATCAGCCTCTCCTCCTCCATCAAGCTGTTGACAGCGAAATATCTCTTCACCTTGTATATCCTCCATAATTTCCCCTTCCCTATATGGGTGATTCTCCCCAAGTATCTTAATCATCTCTTCCACGTTCGTACCCAAACCCAACTTTAATTTCCCCCATCCTCCTTTCAAAATCATCTCCACTTTGCTCATACGCCAAATACTCACGTCTTTCTCTATACATGTATCCATCACCTCTCTTTGAATAGGCTCGATAGTACGTCTTCTATCTTCTCACTCCAAGATCTCCTTATCGTGGTCATCCCTTCTACTGCAAAAATTCATATTCCCCCCTACTGGTACTTTTGCCACATATGCCACCGTTTGGTTGTGAAGATCCAACACCTTCACTATCTCCTTTTGGTTGGAGAACTTATCTTCCATGGAGGAGATTCTGTCCTCCACTGTTTCTTTGATTTGACTCATCTCATATCCAAGACGCTCTTCCAAAGCATCCACCTTTTTGGTCGCCAAAGGTACTCAGATATTGGAAAACGATAAAAAACAGGAATCTGCCCTTTAATCGGCAGAAGCAGCAATTTGGAGAGAAGAAAACCGCATAAATCAGTGAAGGAAGGCCCGAGTTTCAACCTGGACACCGCTCTAATACCAATTTGATAGAAAAAACTTGTTAATCTCCAAATTACCTTGGCTGAATTTGAATTTCAGCAGGGTGCGAAACCAAAAAGTGGAAGAATTTGATAAAAACACAAGTGGGAAAATGATTAAATTAATAATAGTAGGTAAAAATCATATAAGATACCATGGATCTTCAATCAGAGATGAGTATTTGTCTCTCTACTTAAAGCATATAATCCAAAAGGAAATCCCTAAACAACCCCTACTTTGAGTTCTTTCTCCTACCAAACTAATTTCTTCTTAATGGGAGTTGCTGGCCCCACGGTTTGGGCGGCAACAAGGGAGGGTGGAACTCTGTTCCGCCTCTTGTAGCCATGAGCTTGTCTAATGTGGACCGGCTGGACCCCTCCAATGATCGGTCTAACAGAATGAGGTGGAAGGTTGTGTTTAGTATAAATGAGAGCATCGTTTGTTATACTTCTTGATCAACACCAAGAAGGGGAAGACATTTTTTGATTATGTGTGAACTCCTCAAGAAAGAAGGGAAAGAAGAGAGTAAAAAGAGAGAAACAAGAAATCTTAATTCCTTTTTTTCAATATAGCCTTTGGGGTCTATTTATTATGTTTACATAAACCGATTTGGGATTTAATAAGGGTTTAGACTAGTTGGGTCAATACAAGTAAACAAACATGCAATGGGTTTGGGATCAGTTAAATGTTGAAATAAATTTAATAACGAGTTGTTGTAGCTAGCCCATTTTTGTAGTGTTCTCAACGTTTGATAGATTGCTTCTTTCTTCTTAAGGGGTTTCAATATATGACAAGGCCTGAAAACCAACATGTACCTGATCTGAAAATTTAGGGCTCGGGTCGACCTGTATAACAGGTAGGTCTTGTTTGGGTTGAATTTTTCAACATGATTGATCTATCAGGTCAGGTTTGGGTTAAACTGGGAATCCGGAAACAACCTGTTTGAACTAAAAGCATCTCGCATTGCGGCCCGCCCTCGTCGTGCTTGCACCCCGCACCCATGCTCAGGATCGCAACCCGCGCTCGCACCTCGCACCCACACTTGCATTGCGCTCACACTTTACTCTTTCTTACTCGCTTGTGGCTCACCCTCACGGCTTCGCCCCCTTGCCCTTCCTTGGCCTTTCCCACTCGCCGGCTCGAAGCCTCGCCCTCACCCGCTCTCCTTCACTCGCTCGCCCTCGCAACGTTGCCCTCACCCGCTCGAAAAATTATTCCATCAGGTTACCTGACGTAGAGATATATCAGGCAGCCTATAATACGTCGCCACGTGCACTTACTCTTTACCGCGCGGCCCGACGACCCGACCCGGAGCTGACCCGGGAGTTGGCGTAGCTCGGTATTGCTAGGTATTGATCCATTTTGCTCGACAAAAATGAAAAATACTATTCTATGAAGACCAATACCGAGCAATACCACGCAATACCGAGTTCTTTTAGGTATTACTCGGTATTGCTCGGTATTAATACCGAGTTCTTTTAGGTATTGCTCGGTATTGCTCGGTATTGCTCGGTATTGGTCTTTACAGAGTGGTATTTATCGTTATTGCCAAGCAATACTGAGTAATACCTAGCAATACCGAGCAATACGCGAACATAGTAATCCCGGATTCGATCCGAGTCGGGTCGTCGGGCCGCGCGGTAAAAAGTAAGTGCACGTGGCGACGTATTATAGGCTACCTGATGTATCTCTACGTCAGGTAACCTGACGGAATAATTTTTCCACCCGCTCACCCTTGTGATGTCGCCCTGACCCAAAAACCTGGTCGGGTTAGTTGAAGGCGGGTCAGTTTCGAGTTGGACACTGACCTGACCCAAAAACCCATTTTGACACCCCTTCTACTATGATATATATTAAATATTTTATTATTTGTTGTCAATTTTCTGAATTGTTCACCCATTCTTGACATCGTTATTGTACTCTCTTTGAATCCACAAAAATATATTGTTTCTTAACACCATATTAATGAATTTGAAATATTCTGTCATCATTGACCACTGTATGCAATCCCCGGAACTTGGTTATGAAGGAGGGCTAATTATTGCAGTTTTATGATTTAAATAAGATTCACATTTTATTTATGATTTTCTTCATTTTATCATTCTTTAATACAGAAATATACTTCTAAGTTGTAGATATTTGTTATTTTAAAAGGTTTTATTTACACCACTGAGTTTCATTGCTTCAGGTCATCTACCATGGATAAGTACCACAAAAGTGTATTCAGTATGCTCTACACTGTTTTATAATCTTCTTTTAAAAATGTTTTGACAGTACTGTTGAAGATGATATTATCATAGACCAACTAGATTCACCCAAAATAGTTGATGATTTTGATTTGGGCCAAGATGAGATTGTTGATATCAAAGACAAAGATGTAAACAAACAGAAACTGAGGCGTCGGATCAGTCAATACAAGGTTTGTTAACAAGTTTTGGAGAGGCAAAGTTGGCCTGTTAAATGACAGCTTTGTTATGCATCCGTGCGGCTATGCAAAACAAATTCTCAGTTTTTTCCGTTTCTTAGCTTTTCTCCCTTTTTTCTTGTGCGAAGAGCTGCATTTACATGCTGTAGATTATTTACTTTTTCAACATTTAATGCTCGGTTGAATGTTTCAATCAGATCAAACTTCGGAATCCATGTCGTGAGGGGAAGAAGCTGCTAGTTTTGGACATTGATTATACTCTCTTCGATCACAGGTCCCCGGCTGAAAGCCCTCTGGAGCTCATGAGGCCATGTAGGTCAACCAATATTTTGCTCCAAAATTTCTATTTTATTATTTTCTGACGCAAGATATCTGTGCAGATTTGCATGAGTTCCTCTCTTCTGTTTATGCAGAGTATGACATCATAATTTGGTCAGCAACTAGGTCAGGTCTCATGTCTTAATTGATTGAAAAAATGTTAGGTGTGGTAAAAGTAACAGGTGGAAGGTGCACTAGCGCGTTTATGGGTGTGTAGTTTCCTTGATATTCTTTTGTACAACAAACCATGGTTCTCTTGCACAAAAATTATGGCAAAATGTGCATACCAATGTATACCCTTGTGCACCTTCCTCTATACCTGTGTTGCACATAGGGGAAAGCGAGCTCGAACTCGAGCTCGTCTTATTGTAAATGAGCTCGAGCCGGCTCGCAAGCCATGGGCATGAATTTTTAAATTTAGGCGGGATTTTTAAAAATTAGGCGGGATTTTTAAAACTTAAGCGGGATTTTTAAAAATTAGTCAAAATTTAGAAAAATATATGAAATGTTTAACATTTAAATAAAACTTAGGTGATTTTTATTAATTTTTTTAATATTTAAATTTAATATATAAAAAAATAATTTAAAAAAATATTAATATTTAATCGAGCCGGCTCGCGGCTCCGCCCCAACCCCAAAACAACGCTTGGCTCCCCTCCCGCGCCTCAAACCAGTGAGCTCACGAGCCGAGCCGGCTCAAGCTCAAACTCGAGCTTGAGCTCGACTCGTGAGCTCGATAAGCTCGGCTCACTTGTACCCCTAGTTGCACCCATAATAATCAACCCCCCACAGGATGAGCGTTTATTTTCTTGAAATAAATTTGAGTAGTTTTGTGATTTTTTTGATTAATATGCTTGCAACATTCTTCATTTTACAGCATGAAATGGATTGAGCTAAAGATGGGACAGCTCGGCGTATTGAACAATCCCATCTACAAGATAACGGCTCTTCTTGATCATCTGGCCATGGTCACTGTTCAAACCGATTCACACGGGACATTTGAGTGCAAGCCACTTGGCCTAATCTGGGCTCATTTCCCTCAGGTTTTATACTTTCTATCTTTAACTTCTTGTCTCTTTGTGTAAGTTTAATATGGACATGATTTATTCTATTTTGCAGTTCTATAGTTCAATGAATACCATAATGCTTGATGATCTGCGAAGAAATTTTGTTATGAATCCACAAAATGGTCTTACCATCAGACCTTTCAGGAAAGCCCATCTGAATCGTAGCAGTGACCAAGAGTTGGCTAAGCTTAGTCAATATTTACTGGCCATATCCGAGCTTCCTGATCTGAGTTCGCTTAATCACCGGGACTGGGAATCATACACAGAAGATAGCTCTAAAAGGCGCAGACAAAGGTTGCATATTTAGACTTCGTTTGGGGCGGCTTTCTTATTGTTTCTTAAAGCAACTTTTTAGTATAAAACTTTTAAATTTTATACTAAAAAGTTGCTTTAAGAAGTAGTAAAAAAGCCACCCGAAATGAAGCCTTAACCTCACACAAATTGTAGGTTTTACTTAATCTGTATCATTCCTCATCGGAAAAGTTAACTTATTTATGTATTTTTCTGGCAGTTGAAAAAGTCGCGACGTTCCTTGCTATATGCATGTTAGATAAATGAAGATATCTGGAGCTACCTTTTACTGAACATGCAATTTGGTGTGCTGCCATCCTGTGACTTTACTGTAAGAAGCTAAATGAATTATTTCATGAGCTCTAGTTACATCATTTACTATTTGTTTACATACTTGATTTTATTTGTGCTGTGATCTGTGATCTAGGTCTGGTTTCAATAGTAAATACTAATTTATACGTCCCTGTTGAAAGTACAATTGCATTTGCTTAGGTTATATTTTCCTGTATTGCCTGGCTGTTTTTGACATTTGCTTCTTTCTGCACACTTCTGCACTTTTATGTCGTCAGTATAGCAGTAATGCATGTTATTATTGAGTAGTCGTGGTTAAATTTTAAAATTTAATCTCTCCAATTTCACTTCTCAATCCAAAAAATGCGTGATATGTCACCAAAAAAATTATCTTAATTGGGTGCGAATTTTGATGCAAATATGAATCATATAATTCCAAAATTAAATTCGAGATCATCCAGACTCCGATGTCAGCAAGCTTATAGTAAAATTTTACATCGCAAGGAGATGAATCCAGCAACACCAAATTCAATCCAATCCGAGCCCAAATGAGTCCAAATTAACGGATGACAGTCTATTTTGAAGCTTCAAATCATTAATTGGATAATCAAATGTCATCCAAATATGACATTCTTATAGTCGAATTGTGCAGCTTGATGAGACATCCAACATACCCAAGATCGCCCAAATTTGATATTATTAAGATACTCAAATGCTTAGGGATTTGATATTGGCCATTCATTGCAGCACTACAAACGTGCCCATGATCTTCTCCCTATTTACTAGCCATTTTGTCTAAAAAATCTATAAATAGACCCCCACTTTTCATATGAAAAGGGGCTTGGAGCCTTTGGGAGGAGGAAGAGACGAAGAGCTTTGAGACTTGAAGAATCTTAGAGCTCTACCCTGACAACTCATTGACGAATCAATGCCACCGTGCCGCCACTGCTAGACTTTTGCTCAACCACCATAACCTGATTACAGTCCTTCCGGCTAAATGTCACCCACCGACTACGGTCCTTCTGACCATCATTGCCCCATTATGGTGTTTCCGACCACCGTCGTCCGCTGACTATGATCCCTCCAACCACTGTTTACCGTCGACTATGGTCCCTCCGACCACTATCGTCCCTTGATTACAGTCATTCCGACCATCGTCACCCATTAACTACGGTCCTAAACCTTGAGACCTCAATATGACCCAGTCAAATCAAATATTGAAACCTCCTCTAATGCATCCTAAACATCATTGTGAATGCATTGGACTCAAATTTAATCCTTGATCATGCATGGTTGATAAAGTCTATTCATGTTGACCAAATTTCCCTTTAAGGATCCAAATGAATATTTCAAGCTAGATGGCCATTTCATGGCCTAAGACCACACCCATTGATCTCAAATCACTATGTTTAACATGTTGGATCCAACTCCAATCCTTGCTCTGATCTGGTTGATCAGGTCAACCATGGTTAACCAAATCAATCATGAACCATAACCTTTTGAGCTTAGTGCACTACACAGCTCAATATAATGACATTTATGACTTACATTATGTTCAAATAACCACACTAGGAGCTCTATGCATGAAATCAATCATCATTGGCTCCTCAGCTAGTGATTGACCTAGTATGGCCCAATTGAGTTAGCTCAAGTCAACTTCATTGAACATTCAATCAAGCTCCAAATCAACCTTGATTTTCATCAAACCTATTTGAACATCTCTCCTAGTGATTTTCTCATGATTGGACAACCTAACCCAGTCAAAAGTTGACTTGGTTGACTAGACCTATGCTTGGTCAAACCTGACCTTTTTTGGTTAAATCATATTGGTCGAATTAATTTCATCCAACGATTAATTACACATGGATTGTTCAATACGAAGTAAGTGGTCATATAGTACAAACAATATTTATTGGCAAGATCTGGCCCCTTGAGTGCATGAATGGTGATGATACAAAAATACATGTTAGGATCGTATGGTATGAATGAGATTCTTATAGTATGATGTGAGAAAATTGTTTACTTTTTTTTTTTTTTTTGGAAAATAGATTGGTGTGTGAAGATTATGGAAATTCTACTAGCTATAATTATCATAAAAAACAAAAATAATAAAAAATAAATAACTGAACAAAAATGGAAACACACAAAAAGAAATTACTGCACACTTTTTTTTTTTTATTTCACTCTATGCTGAATAAAGCATGAATATGAATGACACCTAGTCTAGTCTTCAATGTACTTAAGGTGTCATAATTTAGGGGTTTGATGAAAATGTCTTCCAAATGATTTTCTATAGTTAATGTAGTTCTATATCTCTCCTAGTTACATTATCTCTAATGAAATGATATCCAATATCTATTTGCTTAGTGTGAGAGTGTTGAATTGGACTTTTATAAATATAAATGACACTAGTGTTATCACACTAGATAGGAATGGTGCTTACAAATAGTGCAAGATCTAGGATTATTTGCTTTAACCATAAAACTTGAGCAACATAACTTCTTAAAGCTATGTATTCCACCTCAACGGTAGATAGGGCTACTGAATTTTACTTCCTACTAGATCAAAAAATTTATGATTTCCCTATGAATTAACATGTTCTAGAAGTACTTTTTTTATGTATCATATACCCTGCAATGTCTAAGTTTGAACATCCTATGATTTCAAATGATGAGCTATATCTAGGATATTAGATACCTAAGTTTTGGGTACCTAAAAGGTATCTAAGAATTCTCTTAATTGCAGTTATATGGAATTCCTTAGGGTCAGCTTGGAATCTAGCATATATATATATATGTATATCCTAAATATTATATTAGGTTTGCTAGCAGTCAGATACAAATGTGATCCTATAATCCTCATGTACTTCTTCTGATCTACTAATTTTTCATTTGGATCATTATTTCATTGAATGGTATAATGGGTATATTTATTGCCTTAGCACCATCCATCTCAGACTTCTTAAGAATCTCCTTTATATATTTTCTGTGACTAAGGAAGGTTCCATCATATCTTTGTTTCATACTAAATATTAGAAAATATGTAAGCTCTCCCATCATACTCATCTCAAACACTCAACTAATGGTTTCTAAAAAATTATTGCATAGTCATTCATTTGTTGATCTAAACAATATGTCACCCACATAAGTTTAAATAATTAGTACATCATATCCTTCTTTCTTTATAAGCAGGGTTGTATGTACACTACTCTTTCAAAAGATTTATCTAGGAGAAATGTACTAAGCCTTTCATACCAAGCTCCATGTGCTTGATTTAGTCCATATTATGTTTTTTTTTTAATTTATATACATGGTTAGGAATGGTTGCATTTTCAAATTTAGGGGGTTGTTCTACATAAACATTATCTTTAATAACCTCATTCAGAAAGACACTTTTATTATTCATCTGATATAATTTGAAGCCTCTAAAGCATGCAAAGGCTAATAGAAATCGAATGACTTCTAATCTAGTTATAGAGACAAAGGTCTCCTCAAAATCAATCACTTCTAATTGATTGTAACCATTTGCTACTAATAATGCTTTATTCCTAATCACAACTCTTCCCTCAAAAGGTCATGGCTTGGTGCACAACCTTGGCGGCTGTTTCTTTCTCATATTATTTGGACTTTCATTTTGGAGGACTGGATGTGCTTGGAACCTCTGTTATTATCTCTTGACCTTCTTGGTTGGTCCAAGCCTAGCAACTAGGTAGCGGTCTGAATCCAGTTGCTTTTAGGGATATCATTTTTCGTTGTTTTGTTTAGGTGGTTTTGGCCCTAACGCTTACTATTTTTTCCTCTGGATGTATTCTTCTTTGTGGCTATTTTTGGGCTTGTGACTTGTGTTGTAATGCTCCTTTTATCTAATAGAATTTTCTTTTGCCACAAAATAAAAGCTACTTGCTAAAAAAATGCCTTAAACCAAAAAATTGGAATGTTAGTTGGTTCACTTAGAAAAGAAAATCTGGATCATGATATGAGCTTGATGGATTTTTAATAATAATAATAATTTTTTTTTTAAGATGAACATAATACAGGACAAATAAATCAAATTGTATTATACTTATATACGCAGATTCGTTAATATATATATATACACACACACGCAGATTCGGATTACAATATCTTGACCCAAAATTTCCCCTAAAGTATCGCTTCTTTTTGCGGGTGTTATAAAATATAATTCAGAATAAACGTAACAACAACAACATCATCAAGCCTTTATCCCATTACGTGGGGTCGGCTACATGAATCCTTTTTTTTTTCATTGTGTTATATTAAAAGTCAAATTCTTATTTAAATCTAATAAAGAAAGGTCATTCCTAATATTTTCTAACCAAGTCTTTTTAGGTCTACCCCTATATTTCTTAACACAAGTCAAATCTAATACCTCTACTCTCCTAACCGGGTCATCCGAAGGCCGCCTTTTTATGTGACCAAACCATCTAAGGCGACTCTCTCTAATCTTATCTTCTACTGGAGCTACTCCAACCTTTTCACGTATATGCTCATTCCTAATATTTTCTAACCTAATTCAGAATAAACTCAAGGTGAACAAAATCTATAGAATTTTTAAAACGTAAGATATCAAAATTTTATATAATTTGATGAGATTGTTAAACGGCTGTAGTCATGAAAAAAAAAAAGTTTTCACAATACTTGAGAATGATACAGCACAATTTTCCCTTCAGCACAATCTTTGGAGTAGGTGAATATATAAAAAAAATATTTTAAGTTGTAATTTGGGTTCACTAATGAAATTATATGTGCATGGGATTTTAATGATAATGGAAGAATTTGGAGGATTTTGATTTCATAATAATTATTTAATGTTGTATTATAAAAATAATAATTTTGATTTAATTTATATAATAACTAAATTTATTCCTAAATAAATAAATAAAATAAAATAAAAATAGTTCTACAATAATAAGTCGTACGTTTAACCAATTATGCTACCGTATTTTTTATTTTTTTTCCTTTTTAACTGATTGGACTAACAAATCGTTCGTTATACAGACTACTATGACTCTTTTTTACTTTTTTTTTAATATTTAATTACATAAATAAATTTTTAATCGTACCTTTCCCAAGAAGCACAAATTTCAATGCTTATAAGTAACTTGGGGCAAATTATTCTGTGTGGAGACCGCACGTAAGCTTACATTCAGATTTGCTGTGCATTTATTGTGCTTTTACTGTATTTTTACAAAAGGTAGCTAATATACTATTTTAATTGCGTATTAGCTGCGCTTTTGTTGAGTATTTACAAAAACGCAGTAAAAGGGCAGCAAATACTCAATTTGTAAGATATTTGCTACACTTTTACTGTGCTTTTACTACGCTTTTGCTATATTTTTATAAACGGACAGCTAATATGCAATTAAAATTGTATATTAGCTGACTTTTGCAAAAATACAACAAAAGAGCACCAAATCCGAACGTAAGCTTGCATGCGATCTCCGCACAGAATAAGTTGCGCAAGTTTAGTGAGTGCGCTCTAGATATAAATGTAAGAACTGAATAAAGAAAAAAGTTCTGCGCAAACATCATATTACCGAGAAAAGATTTTTGGCTCAATTACTTGTTGAAAACGCTTTTTTGAAGGACAATGCAAAAAATATTTTGAAATAACGAAAATTTTCGCAATGAGTTCATTGTTTTATTTCTTAAAAGTTGATGTCTTCTGTAAAAATACGTTAAATAATAGGGATTTTTACATACCTAACATCTAAAAGTTCTCTATTTACTTATTAAACACCAAAACTTTAATTTTTACTGTTATACCACCTTAGTTACCTACTCCCTCATCAAACCTACCACTCCGTCTACCCCCGTCAAAGCAAGTCACGAAAACATTTCGCCGGCGGGAAAAATCCCGGCACCTCTTGCATTCCCTGCTGCTCTCTCATAGGCGTCATTTTCTCCAAAATTTCTTCGGCCCAGTTTTGTTTCTCCGGCCAGTGCAAACGTCGCACTTGCTCAATTCTATCTTGCACATACACCTTTCCTCCATTCCTGTTCTTCTGCTCCCTGCTGAGGGTTGTAACATACATGAACTTATTTCACCAAATAACTCAGACAAGTTGTACATAGGGAAATTAGGATAAATATGACAGAAAAGAGGGAGGAATGTTCACCTGAAGTTGTTGGGGGTAATCCTGAAGGTAGTTGGAGAACTCCTGATCATAGAGAAGGCTGTCGGAGTTTGCTACACCAAGGAAGAGCCAGGCGAGGCCGCGAAATTGGAAGATGGTCACTGATTCCATGAACATTCGTCGGAGATAGCCACGGTAAGGAGCAACTCCAGTTCCAGTAGCAATCATGATGTGAGTGGTAGCTGGGTCATCTTTAGGTAACAACATCACTTCTCGTCGTCCTGGAGGCGCGTCAAAGAACCATAGAGAGGAAGAAGCTCTTCTCCAAGTAAGCGCGCCCTATTTCCCTTCACCTTTTCTTTCATTTGTTTCAGTTTTTTGCTTCGTTTTTTATTTGATCTGATCGCTTGTAATGGCAATGTCATTCTAAGGCGTGCATAGGACTGGCGGAGGTTTCGGGAAGTTTTGACGAACACGACGACGGAATAGTGACGGAATGGTATTTTAGAGAGCAAAATAGGTTTTAGGTGGTATGAGTGTAAATAGGCAAGTTTAAGTGTTTAATAAGTAAATAGAGAACTTTTAGGTGTTATGTATGTAAAAACCCCTAAATAATATTATAAGTTTGTTAAAGTAAATTTTAATTTGATGCCGATATTTAAATTTCAATTTGATCATCGCCGTTCATTTAAATTTCAAGTGTATTATCAACCATTCACAATTCGCGGCTATATCGTGTAAGTTGCGATGTCACTTTCACAGTACGTTAGCCAAATGGACATCTCAACAGACAGCTTTTTTTTTTGTATAAAGTTGAATATAAATGTAAGAAATGGATATGTGAGAGGAAAAAAAAATGAAAAAAGAAATAACTCACTTTGACCTCTTAGTTGAGAGTTTAGGCTTCTGACTAAAAGGTTTTCGGTTCGAGTCTTTGTGTATGTATTATGTGTATGAGTTTTCCTTAAATGACCTAAATATCAAAAAAAAAAAAAAAAAAAAAAAAAAAAAAAAAGCGGAAAAAGTTGCTTGAATTTGCTTGAATTTTGCCGATCCTTTATTTATTTATTTATATTTTTTTTTTCAAAACAAATATATTAATAATAAAACAAGAGGTACAACAAATAAAGAAAGGCTCATCATAGAAGCCCCAAAAAAGCTACAGACTCCAAAACAGATGAAAAACACAGGAGATTAAATCCAAAAAGAGAGCTTAGCAGATAGCCGGGACTCCCAACACCTCGAATCCGCGCAAGGACCATCCAGAAGAGTGAAGATCACCAACAGTTTAGCTAATGATTTCACTCAACCAACCTACACATAAAAGCTTTAGTTAGATTATTTATTTTGTAATACCTATGTGATATTCAAATGAAAGAAAAGTGGATGCAAAATGAGAAGCGAGAAATAATTATTTAATTCCATGTTTAATAAAGCTATGATGAATAACAAAATCAAAATGCAGAATTTAACTATATGCAAGTATAAGATGTCCACAAGAAAGTTGAATTTTGTTGGGGGATACATAAAATCTATATTTATATTTAATTTATTTGATAATATAAATTTAGAAATAAAATACTAAATTTAGCTCAATTTTATTCCAATCAACTCGAAACTTAATTCGAAATTGATCAATATTGACTGATCAACTTGAAGTTAAGATCGAAGATAATCAATGTACTGCAAAAGGGTAAATATTTAACTAAATTATCCATGCTCAATGTTGTTTTGATTATAATTGTTGCGTCCTGGAATATTTGAGGCGGTAGAGAAATATATGGTTTAACGTCTTAGCATTGTACGAAGATCCAGCACACAAGCAGATAAGTGAGGGGGTGAAACATTCATAAGAGACACCAGAGTTGTTACGTGGAAAACCCTTGAAAAAGGGGGAAAAATCACGGGGCCTGGCCCAGTTTGAATGAATCCACTAGTATTTGTAGTTGCTACAAATGAGGCTCTTCCTTGGGAGAAGGCCTTGGATTGATGTAGCGAATGTACATCATATAGATTGCATTACATGGTAGGAGTTACATATACATGTTTGTTTGGCCTGAAGGATCGTAGTCGGAAGGAGACCGTAGTCGGCAGGAAACCGGGGTCAGAAAGACTGTTGTTTGTTGATGGAGGTCAGAAGGACCATATTATGCGATGAAGGCCTGAAGGACCGTAGTCGATAGAAAGCTGGGGTCTAAAAGACCGTTGTCTAGTGATGTTGGTCGGACGGACCGTAGTAGGCGACAGAGGTCAGAAGGACCGTAGGCGGTTGGAGACAAGGAGTCAGGTGTTAGACCCAGTGTCACTTGGAAGATCGGGTGTTGATGGTCTGGCCTTGGGTAGGACGTCGGGTCTGAACGTCCGGCCTTAAGCAGGACATCGGGATTGAACATCGGGCCTTAAGCGGGACGTTGAGTCTTCAGCAGGATGTAGGGACTGAACGTCGGGCCTTAAGCGGGACGTCGAGTCTTCAGCAGGACGTAGGGACTGAACGTCGGGCCTTAAGCAGGATGTCGGTTCTTCAACAGGACGTAGGGATTGAACGTCGGGCCTTAAGCAGGACGTCGAGTCCAGACCATGGGTAGGACGTCGGGTCTGAACGTCGGGCCTTAAGCAGGACGTCGGGATTGAACATCGGGCCTTAAGTGGGACGTCGAGTCTTCAGCAGGATGTAGGGACTGAACGTCGGGCCTTAAGCAGGACGTCGGGTCTTCAGCAGGACGTAGGGACTGAACGTCGGGCCTTAAGCCGACGTCTCGTCGAGCCGTTCGATTCGAGTATAAGCTCGTCAAAATTGGAGACCGTTTGGTAACTCAAATTGCAGTTTGAACCTTCCAACAGCGCTTTGAGCCCTTGATTCGGACTCATTTGGGCTCGGATTGGGTTGATCTTGGTGTCGTTGGGTTCGTATTTCCGAGACGCTCAGTTTGACTATAAGCTCGCTGAAATCGAAGTTCGGGTGCGCCCAAAATTAATTTATGAAGTTTCCAACTAGCTTTTGCCTCGAGATTCGTGCCCAATCAAGATAATTTTTGTGATGCCGTATCAATAATATTACTAAAATAAGAGTTCATATAGTTCTAACAATAATTTTTGAAAATTTTAGCCATGTTTTTTTAAATATATATTTGAGATTAAATTTTTTGTAAAAATTTTTCATAATGTTTTTAAAATTGTAAAACAAATATTTTTTTCAAATTAATATTTTATCATCTGAACTAGGGGTGTCAATTTCGGGTCACGGGTCGGGTTTGGTTCGAACCCGAAATTGACTTAGCTCTATTCGGGTTTCGCAAGCGGGTCTTTTTTTTGGACCCGAACCCAACCCGCTTCAATTTTGGGTCAACCCGATCCAACCCACTTTGGGTTCGGGTCAACCCGACCCTACCCGTTGAAACTGCAACTGACCCAGAACTGCCTTGCGACAGCGGAAGCAGGACGCGCGATGCGAAACTAACACGGGACGTGTGGAAAGCTAAACTGACGCGGCCGGTGACACGCGACACAACACTGTGCTCGGGATGCGACGCGACGCAATGCGGCCGGGCAGGCGGGCAGGTTGCAGGCGGGCCAGTCGGGGCAGACGGAGTGTGGTCATTCCGGGCAGACTGGTTCATGTGTCATTCCGAGTCATTTTGGGTCATTCGTGGGTTCCCGAGTAACCCGAATCCGACCCGATTTTTCAAACGGGGTAGTTTTCCGGACCCGAACCTGACCCGCTTCGAGTTCGGGTCAATCCAAACCTGAAATTTTTGGGTTGGGTCCAATATTGACACCCCTAATCTGAACAATTATAAATGATTTATTTTAAAAGCATGTTTCAAGATTTTAAATAGTTCTTAATTAAAAATATAAAAGCATGTTTCAAGATTTTAAATAGTTCTTAATTAAAAATATGAGAGGCTAGCCAAACAATTTTTTTCGCACAGGTTGGGTCCAATATTGACACCCCTAATCTGAACAATTATAAATGATTTATTTTAAAAGCATGTTTCAAGATTTTAAATAGTTCTTAATTAAAAATATAAAAGCATGTTTCAAGATTTTAAATAGTTCTTAATTAAAAATATGAGAGGCTAGCCAAACAATTTTTTTCGCACAATCATCAGCTCCCAATATATTTTTCTTCAATATCCCAACCCAAAATATTGATGTTCACCTAGCCAACACAGTATTATAATTAAAAAAGCTATATCATAATATTTTGATATAAGATTTATATGTGATCAAATTAAATTCAATAACTTTCAAATTTATATAAATATTCTTCGTGTTTTTTTTTTTTTTTTTTTTTTTTTTTTTTTTTGTAATATTTCAAGAACTTGTTGTTGCAATTTCTTCCATCAGCAGATCCAAAAAAACTAAAATACACATGCAATTTGTCTTTTTAGTTTCTAAGTTCTATGCAACAAACCAATATCACCTTTAAAAAAAACAAAAAATTAACTCCAGCTTGTAAATTTTTTTTTTCTTATGTGGCTTCTTTTTCAGAAAAAACACAGTTGCATTTGGAAACCTCATTAGCAATATCCTAATATTGTATTTGACTCGTGTTTACTTTCATATAGCTCTCCCAAAATACGAGCCCATAAAAATTAATTTTAGTTCATTTTTAGTAGTTAAATTTCATTTGATATGATTTTTTTACTGCTTTTTGATAAGGCATCACAAAATTATCATTAATCGAGCGGCTCGACGAGACGAATCCAACGAGCCCAAGATCGTCAAATTCCGACATCATTAAGACCTCCAAATGTCCAACAAACGGTGCACGATCGAAGGGTTCAATATCGGCCGTCCATTCAAACCACTCTCTATTCGCCCCTGATCTCACACCTATTTACGAGCCATGCCACTCCAGAAAAACTATAAATAGAGCTCTTATTCTTCACAAAGGGGACTCAAGTGAAGAGAGAGAAGAAGAGGAGAAAGGGGAAAAGGAGAATCCTCTCCTCCTCGACCACCGCTGGAGCTCTTCCCGCCGGATTTTCGGGAAACAACGAGATTTTGCAGAACTTTGTAAACTTGCTTGAAGAAACGAATTGTAATCTGATTCCCCCGACTTGTGGGACGAATCAACCATTTGTAATTTGCAAAACAATAGTGAAATTTTTCAATTGGGCGGGGCCTCGTGGTTTTTTCCCTTTTTGGGTTTTCCACGTAAAAATTCTGGTGTTCATACTCTTTTCTGTTTGTGTGCTGAATACTTGTACAACACTCGAACGCGAATTTACAAACTCTATCGCCGCGTATATTCTAGGACGCAACACTTCATAAAATAACTTAAAAAAAATTAGTTTTTATATTAAAAAGTTAATTTAAAAAGCATTAAGAAAACCTTTCTCAAGAACTATATTAAATATTATCACCTAAAATTTCATAGATCAAACATATAAATTTAAGCAAAACACAAGATTATTTTTTACAATATGTTCACATAATTAAATACATATTCATTCAAAATAACTGTCATAATTAATTATTTATCAGAAACTTATGATATAATCTAGCATTCTTTTATTTTTGTTGGCTTTGAAATGAATTTAATTATATTAATTAAATATTACAATTATCAAACCGATAAAAAAATCTTTTACTAAACAAAGTAGAGGTCCTTCCATCATGTGGCGAACATATATACTCCCCCAGGTCAGCAAATCTTGTTTGAATTCCCAATTTACCCCAATTCTACCCCTCTCAGGGCGAATTATTACGTCCGGTTACCGGACCGTAAGACACAAATTCAGATGCATCAAGTCACCTGGATATACTGAATCCTGGATATATTTGAGTGACGCGGCACATCTGAATTGATGTCCGGACGAATCCGAATTAATGTCCGAACGAATAATTTCCCCTCTCGCAGTCCTAATATAACTTTTCGTAAGGACTTCAATTAGGCAAAATCACGTGGATTTCTTTTAATTTTTTTCTTTTATAAATACTGTATTAAATTAAAAAAAAAAATAAAAAGGTCGTTTTAATGCTGACCGACTAAGCGCAAAATATTCCACCATTCTTCTCTTATACGGACAAGGAACAGGATCAACAGATTAGGGCAGCAGAGGAGAGGATGAAAGTTGCGGTGGAGGTGGTGGACGCCAGCGACCTCATGGCCAAAGATGGGTTGGGCTCAGCTAATCCTTTTGTCGAAGTGGAGCTCGACGGTCAGAAGCAACGCACACAGACCAAGTTCAAGGACCTGAATCCAAGTTGGAACGAGACCCTCGTCTTCAACGTCTCCGACCCCTCCATCCTCCCCAATCTAACCATCGATGTTTCCGTCTACCATGACCGCCGCCAGTCCTCGTATACTTCATCCGACCACTCATCCGCAGGCGGCCATCATCGAAGCCTCGGTAGGGTCCGCATCTCCGGCGTCTCCGTGGCCACTTCCCCGTCCGAAGCCCAAATCCTCCGCTTCCCGCTAGACAAGCGAGGATTTTTTTCCAATATCAGCGGCGACATCGCTCTCCGACTCTATGCCTTCCAGGAATCTTCTTCCCCCTCTCCCGGTGCAGCCGAAACAGCAACAATTTTCAACCCTGATCCGTCCCCTCCTCCTCTCCCTCACAAGAAGGAGAAGAAAAAGTCAACCTCAGTTCCGCAGCCGTCCCCTGACTTGAGAGAACCACGGGTCTTCTTTTCCGTTCCTGCAGGGGCACAGGGAAATCGACCCACACAGCCTGCTCCGCCGGCGGTGGAGGTTCGCACCGCTGCCACGCCTCTTCCCGCCTCAGCAGTGATGCAAGTACAAACCGGACTTCCCCGCCCCCAATCCGAATACGGACTTGTTGAGACCCGACCTCCTCTTGCCGGCCGCGTTGGCTACAGAAGTCGCGACAAGATCTCCTCCACCTATGATCTCGTCCTACCGATGCAGTTCCTGTACGTCAACGTCGTTAAAGCCCGCGATCTCCCATCCATGGATGTTACTGGTAGCTTGGATCCCTACGTTGAGGTGAAACTCGGCAACTACAAGGGCATCACCAAGCACCTGGAGAAGAACCAGAACCCCGTCTTCAACCAGACTTTCGCCTTCTCGCGGGACCGCCTCCAGGCCAGCCACATCGAGATCAATGTAAAGGACAAGGATTTCGTGAAAGACGACTTTGTCGGCCGCCTCCAACTGGATCTCTCCGATGTACCCCATCGTGTCCCCCCTGATAGTCCTCTGGCTCCTCAGTGGTACCGTCTCGAGGACAAGAAGGGGGAAAAGCTCAAGAAGGGGGAACTCATGCTTGCTATTTGGATGGGAACACAAGCAGACGAGGCCTTCCCAGAGGCTTGGCACTCCGACGCCCACTCGGTCGGTGCGCAAGTCCTCGTTCATACACGCTCCAAAGTCTACTTCTCTCCCAAGCTCTGCTACCTCCGCGTCCTTGTTATTGAGGCACAGGACCTCGTTCCCTCAAATCGTACCCGTCTCCCAGACCCTGTCGTCCGCCTTCAGCTTGGTCATCAGCTCCGCACCACCCGACCTACACCCACCACTCGCTCCGTCAATCCAGTATGGAACGAGGAGTTTATGCTCGTAGCCTCTGAGCCCTTCGACGAACCGCTTGTCATCTCAATCGACGACCGCATTGAGGCAAACAAGATGGAGCCCCTCGGCCGGTTCATATTCCCCGTCATAGCCGCACCGAATCGCACCGATCACAACAAACCCATCGAATCTCGGTGGTTCAACCTCGCTAAGCCCAGTAGCGGCGGTGAGGAAGTGGAGAAGAAGGAATTCAAATTCAGCAGCAAGATCCACCTAAGAATCTTTCTAGATACCGGCTATCATGTTCTTGACGAATCTACACATTACAGCAGTGACCTCCGGCCCACCGCCAGGCATCTGAGGAAGCCCGGCATTGGAATTCTAGAGCTGGGCATTCTTGATGCCCGTAATCTTATGCCAATGAAGGCCAAAGAGGGGCGCACTACGGATGCTTACTGCGTCGCAAAATATGGCCCAAAGTGGGTGCGTACCAGAACACTTCTTGACACTCTTAATCCAAGATGGCACGAGCAGTACACTTGGGAAGTGTTTGATCCCTGCACCGTAATCACCATCGCCGTCTTCGACAATTGCCATATCTCTGGCAACAAGGAGGATGTCAAGGATCAGAGAATTGGCAAAGTCCGAATCCGGCTTTCAACCCTGGAGGCTAATAGGGTCTACTCCCACTACTACCCTTTACTGGCTCTGCAAACCTCTGGACTGAAGAAGACCGGCGAACTCCACCTGGCCGTTCGATTCACCTGCACGGCTTGGGTTAATATGGTGGCGCTCTACGGGAAGCCGCTTTTACCTAAAATGCATTATGTCGAGCCAATCTCTGTTGTTCAATTAGACATCTTGCGGCATCAGGCAATGCAGATTGTCGCCGCCCGTCTAGGCCGTGCGGAGCCACCGCTGCGGCGGGAGGTGGTCGAATATATGCTAGACGTCGACTCTCACATGTGGAGCCTTCGCAGAAGCAAAGCCAACTTCTACCGCATCACCTCCCTCCTCTCCGGCCTTGGTGCTGTTTTCCGGTGGTTAGAAAGCATTCGCAACTGGCGAAACCCAATTACGACCATTCTAGTCCACATCCTCTTCTTGATCCTAGTCTGCTATCCTGAGCTAATCCTTCCCACCATCTTTCTCTACTTGTTTATGATTGGGATCTGGAACTACCGGTTCAGGCCTCGGCACCCGCCGCACATGGACACCAAGCTGTCCTGCGCGGAGCTAGCCCATCCAGACGAGCTCGATGAGGAATTTGACACATTTCCTTCCACAAAGCCGACGGACATTGTGAGGATGAGATACGACCGAATGCGGAGCGTGGCGGGGCGGGGGCAGACGGTTGTGGGAGATCTGGCCACCCAGGGCGAGCGGGCGCAGGCCATTCTCAGCTGGAGAGATCCTCGCGCAACCGCTATCTTCATAATGTTATCTTTGCTGATCGCCGTCTTTCTGTACATTACGCCCTTCCAGGTTGCGGCGGTGATACTCGGCCTCTACTTTTTTCGCCATCCCAGGTTCCGGAGTAAGATGCCATCAGTGCCTTACAATTTCTATAGGAGATTGCCAGCAAAGTCTGATATGCTGCTTTGAATCTGCCCAAGATTTCTCTTTTTCCGGTGATCCTTTTTTTTAAATTTATTTTGGATATTTTGGAATCTCGAATTTGATAAATGCTAGGTTCAAGATCAGAATTTTGGCAAAATTCCGTGTTTCTTTTATGTATTGTTAAATGTTAATAGTCGAGCAACTTTTTAAGAAAAAATTTGGGAGATGTTAGGCCATCTTGAATAAAAAAACTCACTTTTGCTATTACTTCAAAATAAATTTTAATGGAAATCTATTTCCTTACATCAAATAAAGAATATTCTTTGTATATTCTCTATGGTATATTTTTTATATTCTTTTTTTAATCATATCTTTATATTTAAATATATTAAAATTATAAAATTAATAACATAATATATTTATAAAGAAAATTTAAAATAGAACATTTAAAATAATAATAATATTAACTTAATTTTAATTTCAATCATTTTATACTAATTTTTTACTTTCAACAACAAAATAAAAATTTATGACTGTGAACAGTGCAATGTTAATATTGGTATTGCACTGCTCACACTCGCATGAATGAATGACGTGGGGTTTGGTGATCAGATGAAGTAATTGACGGACGATAAATGAGTGTTAAGTGTTTGGTTTGGTTGGAGATGATCTTAAGTTGATTCAGATTTTATTATTAGTAATTATTATTCAACTTGTTTTGAAATGACTTTAATATAAATATTCTAATATAAGATAATATTAGAAGTTATTAGAGTATTGGGATACAAAGTTTTTTTGAACATTTTAACTGCACTAGCAGCCTGTTATGATTGTGAAGGTACAACCCATAAAAAAAAAGATGTTAGGGCCTCATGAAAATGTGTTTAGGGATGTTAAAAAAAAAACCAATAATCGTATGCATGAGCTATTACTTATGTTCAATCAAAGGGTGCTTTGACCAAGTATTTTTTTATTTCAGTTGGATTACATGAAGGATAAGTTTTAAGACCATATATTTTTGCTTTAGTCATGGATGTTCTCACTAAGTATTTGCAAGAGATTGTACCCTGATGTATGCTTTTACGTGATGATATTCTGCTTGTTGATAAGACTAGAGAGGGAGTTGAAGGTAAA